ATATATTAATATAAATATAATATAAATCAAAAGTATATATATATATATATATATATATATTATCTGTAGGGTCTCTCTACGCATACAGCCAAACACAAAACTATTAAATAAACATAGGCATAAACACATAAATAAATAAGTATAGACATATAAATAAATAAAGAATAATAAATATATAAATATATTTATATATAAATATATAAATATATAAATATATTAGACGATCTTCTCTAAGAATAGAGTTTCTATCATTAGTAATAACAACACCACCCTTAGTATTTAACATAAAGATATAATATTTACATGGTTATATTGATACTCATTGATATATTTATATTTAATTATATTTAATTATATTTAATTATATTTAATTATATTTAATTATATTTATTTATTTATTTAGACGAACTTCTCTAAGAATTGAGTTCCCGTCATTAGTAATGACAATACCACCCATCGGATCTAACAACATCTTCAGCATCGATGAGGGGCCCAAAGTCGTCCGCACGATGTCTGCTATCGCCTTGCTAGCCTGTACACAGACAGCAGCAGCATCAGCAGCAGCAGCAGCAGCAGCAGCAGCGGCAGCAGCAGCAGCAGCAGAGGTAAACAAGAGGAGGTATAATAATGTATAAGGATTGATGAGAGACTAGAGAGGCGTCTTTAATATAAATAACAAATAAATAAATAAAACAGCAGAAGATTAAACGTTAACAAACAAATTATCTTCATTATAATACGAAATATAAACAAACTCATCAAAGCCACGTCTGTCTGTGGTTGCTGCTGCTGCTGCTGCTGCTAGCTGCTGCTAGCTCTTGTTGCTGCTGCTAGGTGCTCCTGCTGCTGCTGTTAGCTGCTGTTGTTGGCGGTATTACTTCTGCCTGCTGTTCCTGTTGCTGCAATCCATTGCTGCTGCTGCTGCTGCTGCTGCTGCAGCGGTTCGTCCGTCCACTGCAGGAGCAGCAGCAGCAACATCAGCAACAGCACCAGCACCAGCAGCAGCAGCAGCAGCAGCAGCAATTGCTGCTGCAGCATAGAGGTGTGTGGGGTGTCTAGGCACCTGTATATTGGCGAGCTGCGCTT